TCTGAGCTCTCCACGTGTGACCTGTCTATAACTTATTTATTATGATTCCTTAAACTTACTCCAATTTGTCAAGTTTTATGTTTTTCTGCAAATACGAAGATGCTTAGAACTGAAGATGAGTACTTGACAGGAGTGTTAGTTAGCAGTATTCACTGTAGTCCTCTCCACAGCTGAGGCTTTCCAAAAGTTTTACAAGAAGCTGAGAGTTAAAAGCACCTGTAAGCAGTTTGCCTGGATTGCCCCTCCTTCTCCTTGATAGCCCCTCTTTCTCGTTGCTGCTTCACATTCATTATCCTTTGGAAGATCTGGATTCAATTTGTTCCTTTCTAGTCCTCTGGTGCCTTCTTAATTCCTACTGATGGTTTATAAGCCATTGAGTCAGTTTGAGTCATCTCATCTGGTATTATATTGATTACTTTAATCTCTTTCAAACGTTTCATTGCCATATGATCTGGGAGACAGTGTTGGGCCAGCATCTGAGAGGCCTTGACTGCAGCTTTAGCTCTGCAGCTGGTCTGCTCGGTGACTTTATAGGCCAGTCACATCATCCCACTGTGCCACAGGCTTCCCCACCTTTAAAAGGAGTATAGTGAACAGTGTGCTGCCTTCTGTTTCGTGCTGTGAAAATGTGTTTAAGCAAAGCAAAAGAAGTGAAAAGGCCTAGGTACCTGGTACCATTCTCCCCCTGTAACAGGAGTCTTCAGGCATCGGGAACCTCTTGCATCAAATGTCCAAACCTCATTGCCTGATCTAGAAGAGCAGAGTAGTTAACAGATCAGATTAGCATCTATTCCAACATGAGCTCTGTCACGTTTCTAACAGTGGCTTGTTACTTTTCCTCAGTATTTTGTAATTTTTGTAACCCTTTATTCCCCCCCCCCCAAAAAAAAAGTGCTGTTTATACTCCTAGCTCCCTTTAGACTAAGTCAGTTTGATTGATTGTTCATCCTGCCAAAGAAAAATACGTGGAAACTTTAATTGGCCTGAACCTTTCCAATGCTATAAAATGTGCCTGTTTTGGACATGGAGAACTAAAATGGCTTTATGCTGAACCACGTTGTGGCCGTTGTCCAGCTACTGCATAAGTATATACAGAACTTAAAATTTTCATCTAAGCGTGTAGTATCTGTGTAAAAGGTTTGTTAACATGTGATTAGGACAAAACCACATTTACTAATTATCTAATGGCAGTTGTAGCTTTTTGTGCCTTCCAGGTGTTTTAGGTAGAGTTAGGCGAGATGGCTTAAGTCAGTCTAGTGGCCTGCCAGCAGCTGGCTGGGCTTAGCTCACCCTGGCCTTAGGTTTGCCAGCCTGCTGAGAGCTGATTTAATCTGCTAACCCAGCGAAGAATGAACACAGAGTTGTTTTCTTTAGGGTTAGCAAGGTGCATTGGCTCAGCGAAGGCCCTGAGGAGGGTGAGAGTCGGTGCATGGCATCAGGCAGGGAAGGAGCAGGAGGGTCCAAGGCTCCTCCGTGGGCAGCTTGGCTGACTCAGGTAACTGCTCCCCTCACACAGGTTGGGATGCAGGTTAGCTCTCTGCAGCAGCCTCTCTCCTTCTTTGCAGATGCTACAGCACTACTGAGAAGGGCACTGACACCCACCCAGTGAATCTACAGCAGAAACGATAGATGTGATTTTGGCCCTGAGTTTCACCAGCTGTCAAAAAGAGCAGGCAGAAACTCTTAAATTAATTTTCAGAGTTCAGATGTGTTCTTTTTATTTGCCACTCTCTTGGCTCCTGTACCAGTTGTCTACCTCCACTTATATTTTGCTTAGAGCTGCATGTGTTGGAGTCTGGTGGCCACTGCTTTTTCTTCTCCATTAATACCCTCCCCAATTCATCAACATCTTCTTTCTACTAGGGTGTCTTTAAAGTTCTCCATCTTCCATCCAGAGTTGATCCTTCTCCTCATTGTGACAGACATTAGGCATCCTAATGCCCCCAGGTTTGCTTAATATCTGCTTAATACTCTTCTGTTGCATTCTGTGACCCTACTTCTTGGTTTTCTAGATCAAAGTGATTTAGAGAAAGGTATACAGCTTGACTGATGCGCTGCATTATTTAGAGAGGGTAATTGTAATAATTTTTAAGGCCTCTTCTACATAAAGGCATAATAAAGATACTATGCCAATATTATGACAGCACCATAGTGAGTGAGACTAGTGTCATACAGAAAAAAAAACTTAAATAATGTCCAATGCAGCATGCTGATGTTTAGATATACATACAGATTAAAAAAGGAAAGGTCTGCTTTTAATTTTCTAAGTAGCAGATGCATGTGATCAGGGTGGCCAATACTTCTTAGATCTTTGCTTCCAAAGGGAAGTGTGCATGTCTAACTGGTTCAAAATATATATATATATAACAAGAGTTTGTATATTACTAACTGTTAATAATAATAATAATAATAATAATAAAAAACCTCTCAGCTGTATATATGGAGTGGTTTGGCTTGTACCTTTCCTCCATGATTTTTTTTGGCTCCTAAATTCTGTCTTTCCTCCTTGTTTCACTACATTTATTGGCCTGTCTGAATGTGTGTGTGGGCCACTAGATCATCTAGTCAGAAGAACATTTATAGAAAGGTTCAAGCTCTGTAATATTTCCTTACGTTGATTATTTAATGCTATCATTTGAACTGACTGGATTGATTACTATGTTTAGTATTTAATGGAAAGAACAGATTTCTTCACCCACTTTAAACATGTGTACCTAGCCAAAAACTACCATAGTAACACAGCAATTGTAGAGGTCCTTCTGCCGTGTTGGTGCTGTCTGTGGTATATGGTGACTTCAGAAAAGCTCTTAAAACAGCTTTTGAATTAATAAGGACATGGACCAGTATCTCTGTGTGCAGTGGCACTTCCAGACAGGGTGCATGCATTACCTTTTTAAATGTCCCTGTGTACTTCACATGCATGAAAACCAGATTTATTTATAAGTAGGCCTGGAGTCTTGCTATATAGAGCTTGGTGTCTTTTCTTCTGGAATTCCTGCCTCCAGCTGCAGCTTTCTTGTTGGCACTTCTTGTCCCATAAAAAGGTTTTAATTTAATTCAATTAAATTTATTTTATTCTTTTAAATTATTCCTTTTACATTTTAGATTACAATGCCAGTTGAGGAAAAATTTGCCTTTCAGTAGTATTTGGCATGTGCTTGGAAAGGTTTCACTAGTATCTGCAACCCTGTTGGGTGGGGTAGTGCTGGTTCATTGCAAAAGTTTACCTGCGGTTTTTTGTTCTCCTTCACTTGTGCCTGTTGAGCTGATATGTAGAAGTGTGCGATCCCTAATTTTTCAGTCCCTTCCTTCTCAGCTAACACTCTCTTTTTTTTCTTCTTTTTTTTTTTTTCCTTTAATCAGAGTGCATTTTTTAAGAATTTTTACTCCAAGCCACTTGCTGTGTGAAAAATCTGGGAAAATGTGGGAACAAATTAGTTAGGACACAGAAGAGTGATATGTAGTAAATAGTATATCCAGCTGAAGATAAAAACAGGACTGTTTTTATTCTGTCCTTACGGAGGGAACTGGTATCTTATTACATGGCACTGTTCTTTATAGTATACTGTAAAACTGGTGATGCATTCACTAATACATAGGCTATCTTGTGCTTCCTGTTTTTCCCATAGGCTTCTCAGTATTTGTAACCTCAGAGTAAAAGCCAGACAATGATAGGCAGTACTCTTCTTGTGCCTCTGTTCAGCTGGAAAGTTACATTTCCATTCTTTCTGTGTGCTACATGGTTTTTTAATGGTCATTGATCAGCATATAAAAGTCATGAAGAATGGAAATACAATTACCAAGAAAGATAAATAGACAGTAGCAGCGGGTTTCATCACAAACCCAGCTAGAATGTCAAAAGGCGGGGAAGAAAGTGAAGTAAAATTCTAGTATGATGTGTAACATTTGACAAATAAAACTAATGGTCCTTGAATTAAAAAAGAAGGTTCAAAGTTGTGCCAGTTAATGAAAAATCACACTGAATCACTGTTGTAGCTCTGCTCCCTTTTTAGGATAGAATAATTATTTAGCAGAAATGTAGTGTGTAATGTGGTGCGAAAGCTGCACAGAAACAAAATTAGCAAGCCAGTTTCTGAGGTTACTTGCCATGGATACGAAGCAGACATCCACATTCAGCGAGCAGTGCAGGCGAGCTGGTGCAGGTGTAACCTTCCCCTAGCACAGTGAGGAAGGTGCGTTCCTTGTTCCCCTCCTGCTTACAGGGCTCTGTGGGAAATTAGATTTCCTTTGCTTTTCCCAACCAGTTTTTGCTCTGGCTTCTTCTGGACTTCCCAGTAGCACGTCCTCATAGTGCTTGGCTCACCAGTGGGATGAGGCCAAGCTACAGGTTCTGGAGCAGCTCTGGTCCCCAAAGGAAACAAAAGATTTAGGCCCTGTAATTGGGGTCATCTTGTACCCCTTTGGCTTTCCTGCTTCGCAGACCCTTAAGCAAGATGGCAGCTGCAAAGGGCCAGAGAAGGCTGGAAGGACCAAAGGAAAAAATTCTGACATGCCCAGGAGGGAATCATGGTCAGCAAGTGGTGAGTTGTCTCACCTGCTTTCCTCACCTTCCTCCCTTCTCTGGGAGCCCTGGCTGTGGCTGTTAACAGCCTGATTCATAAATACATAAAAATTAGCGTAATTCATTGAAATCTGGGTTCTGTCATGTTCTGTTTCCAGTGTGGTCTTGTTTCCTTTCCTAGGAGAAAAGTAATATTTTCCCATTGTGCAGTACTATAGCCAGTCTATCAGCCTTACCCCCAGGAGGTGATTAGCCCGTGTATTTTGAAAACTATAAAGTTTGCCTGGTTTTCTTGTCTTCATATGATACATTAAAAAAAAAATCATAATGGTTATTACTTTGTGTTAATGGTCATATGGTTTATTAGCTGTAAGTATATATACCATAACGCTTATGCGCAACAACTCTTACAAATAAGTGATATGGTCTTCTTTGCCCTTATTCTTTTATCAGATATAAGAAACGTGTTTCTCTAAACATGGGTGAAACAGAGCAGAGACCAACAGCAGGATCCCGGTTAGGAGCTCAGGAAAATGCTGGGATCAGTACCTTGGAGCATGGACAGAAACCACCTATGACACCTCCAGGAAAACTCATCTCCATCAAAATTCAGATGCTGGATGACACGCAAGAAACTTTTGACGTTCCGGTAAGGATATGGAGGTTGGGGTGGCTAAAGATTATTCAGGCATTTCTAAAAATGCATGCTTTCAAACCAGTTCTCTTTTTATTTCAACTCTGATTCTTTGGCTAATGAATTCATGTTGCGGAGAAAATGGCTGTTATAACAGCATTAAATAGATGATGGTGTAATAGAATAACATTAAAGAGTGAAGTGAACTGTAAATTACAGTTATTATTCTGTTTCTGTTTGAACAGCTTCAGGAGAGGTGAAAGTCCTTGGTGGTTTTTTCTGGGTGTTTTGGTTCCCCCCTCCCCCAAATATTACATCAGTGATTTCCTCTACTTTCCGAATATTTCCTTGGTGCTGTTTTGCTCTTGATCCAGTAAACTGTAGGTCTATACAAATTTGTTTCCTTTTCCTCTGGCAAGTTCCTAGGATGGTAATTTGAAATCATCAAAACTTTCACAAATTTCTGTCACTGTTACTGACACCAAGTGCTCACGTGCATTGAGTGCAAGGAAAGAAATCACAGCAGTCTTCTCTAAAGTTTCTCTATACAATCAGTGCCCATTGAAATTGATCTAGATTTGTACTTGCCAAGTAAGGAAACAGAGTTACTACTGCTTTTGTGTGTGATCAGAAGAATTAGTTTGAATTACTTTTGGTAGAAAGACTGATGCTGTTTTACACTATCTAGCTGTTAGTAACCACTAATGATTTTAACACTCCATGCTTAGGTAATTAACATGTAAGGTTATTGAACACTGTTGCTGTTATGAAAGTGTACTGGAATGTGTATTTTTCAAAGTGCTCAGGGTTCAGTGAATAGGAAACTGGAAACCTGAGTTCAAATTTCATCCTTTGTTACTTGCATTTTATGTAGCTATGGTAACTTCCATGCCTTCATTGGCTCAGTTTTCCCTTCTGTGAAATGGGGGGTTACCAGTGAGATACATAGATGTTACACGTATAGTGCTCTGTGAAAGTGCTTATGGTGACTGAAAAAATGTTATCCCTATATTAAAGATGAAGGAATTCGGATAAGGAAAATCCTCATTAAAAAAAATTTTTTTTACCCATTTATAAGGTTTTGTTTGTTTGTTTTATTTGTGTACACACATATGCTTTTTGGTCTGCTCTCTCGGGCTGTTTGTGACCTGACTACAACTGCATGTTCAGTCTCAGATTATCTTGTAGTAGAAAGTAAATTCTCTGGACAGATATTTATGAACTGAACTGTCATCAAGTGAAATGCTCATGTATGTAGCAATGTGTTATGTTCTTGTGCCCTTCAGAATACCTATCAAATATCCATAGGAAACAGACTAAAATTATCTTTAGGTAATCATTGCTGTTCAGAAGTGTAGTTCTAGTTTAAATTATCAAATGCTAATGAAACTTGTGCTGCTTATCTTATGTGGTACAAATACCCCTCTTATCCAGAGAAGACTTTTTTTTTCCCTGCAGCTGCTATTTCACCATACTTTGGAAATGACATGCAATTTGTAAGAGTTAATAATCCTATTTGACAAACACTTAGTAGGAACTATTTTGAGATCAGGTCCCTTTCATTAAATTGTTTAGAAGCAAACATAAGTAACGAGTGAATGCAGTGCACCCGTATAACTCTGGCCTTGCTGCTGGGAGTTTGAGGAAACAATATGTTTTTGATCTTCAGTTGATTAGAAGACGTTTTGTTTTTAAACTTCAGGAAGACCTGGGTTTAAAAAACCTTTCTGTTCAGATCACTTCACTATGATTATTTTCTGAGGCTTTTATTTCATAAATACATCTATTCAAGGAGAGTCCAATTGGGTTTAAAGTCAAATCTTGTGAAATTTGCAGGATACTTAGATTATAAAGTCTCTTAGAGCAGATTCCTAAAGCCTTTTGTCTTCAAGGTATGCATAATCAAATGGAGCAATACACATCATAGAATCATAGAATAGTTTGGAAGGGACCTTTAAAGGTCATCTAGTCCAACCTCCCTGCCATGGGCAGGGACATCTTCAACCAGATCAGGTTGCTCAGAGCCTTGTCCAACCTGACCTTGAACATTTCCAGGGATGGGGCATCTACGACCTCTCTGGGCAACCTGTTCCAATGTTGCACCACCCTCATCGTAAAAAATTTCTTTCTTGTATCTAGTCTGAATCTATCCTCTTTTAGTTTAAAACCATTCCTCCTCGTCCTGTCACAACAGGTCCTGCTAAAAAGTTTGTCCCATCTTATAAGCCCCTTTCAAGTACCGAAAGGCCGCAGGGGTCTCCCCGAAGCCTTCTCTTCTCCAGGCTGAATAACCCCTACTCTCTCAGCCTTTCTTCATAGGAGAGGCGTTCCATCCCCCTGATCATTTTGGTGGCCCTCCTCTGGACCCGCTCCAACAAGTCCATGTCTTTCCTGTGCTGAGGGCTCCAGAGCTGGACTCCAAGTGGGGTCTCACCAGAGCAGAGTAGAGGGGCAGCGTCACCTCCCTCGACCTGCTGGCCATCGTTTTCATGTCATTTTCAGTCTGCTCTAAAAGGCATTAATTTTTTAGTCCTATCTCACAAAACTGAAAAGCTTTTAATACCTCTGAACTGAGATGTTTATTCATGTTGGAAAACCCAAGTTCCCATTTACAAGCTTTCTGGTTTTAGCCAGATTGGTACAGTATACACAGAAAAAGAAAGCGACACCATTTCAACAAAATATTTTAGGAGCAGCAAGTGTGGCTGTGGGCAAAGGATGTTAAATATACATGCCAACGCACATCTGTGGGCTTGCTTTTCAGTGGAGAATTAAAGGCTTTTTGCATGATTGAAGGTCTGAACTGTTCTTTCAAAACTTGAGCTGCCATGGTTTTGAAAATAACCTTCCAAATATGATAAAAGTATAAACTGAGAAGGTTTTGTGTTTCCTACAGTTTTAGGAATTTTGCTGGATGTTCTTTTCCCTATTAGCAAATGGGCCAAACTTTGAGTAGTTTTATTGCTGCTTGTAATATGTTTTTTAGGACAGTATGAAGTTTAAGTTGTGCCAATTTATTATTAGCTTGTGAATTCTGTGTAAAAATAGAAACAGATACTGGTGCTACTTCTTCCTGAATTTGGGGAAAGTAGTGAGGTAGTTGGGACTGTCCGTCTGTCTCATGCTCCTTCCTTGCTACTCCTACAATTTCTTTTGTTATAGATTCAGCCTCTCCGTTAGATAAAACTGGAAAAAGATCTTATCTGTGTGCTGGTTTTGGGTTTGCTTTTGGTTTGGTAATCATACTGTGTCCAGCTCATTGTATTAGCTTCTCACAAGGAAAAAAAGAAGAAAGAAAAAAAAAAAAAAAAAAAGGAAAGAAAAAGAGATCCGCATGGCTTCACATGGGCCTGTAAATGATTTTTTTTTCCCCAGAAAAAAAACGTTAAGTGTATGCAGAGAGTTTGTATGGGAGACTTGAAAAACAGAAGCCCACATAGAAGGCCTTTTCATCAATCTTTGCAAATGCAGTGTTGTAAAAGGAAGGGTACATAAGAAAAATCTTGTATTTTGTTTGCTGTTAACAGACAATATTTCATCGCAGAATATCTAAACATTCCTGTATTCCAAAAAGCCAGTGAAAGCTTGAACAGATAAGCCTGGATTGTGTTCCTTGCCGGCCCAGTTAGCTGGCTGCATGACTCTTTTCAAGCAAACACAGATGCTTGGGGGAGGTGGGGGAAAGGTAGGCACTGCTGCTTTCGAAGAAGTTTATCACAATATTACTTTTACTTTGTATTTACTGCCTTTAAAATAAAAGGAAAGTATAAAATCCATGAATTATCTTTTTGATTACATTTTTGTCTATTCTGCTATGAAAAGATAAATTATGTAGAATATCCTTCCCCCTTTTAAGTTATTCAGCTTTTTATGACTGAATTTCTGTACCTTTAGTTTGAGCCTGTCCCAAACTCTCAGACAAGGGCTGGCTTCAGCTGCAGTTATAGGTGATCAGGCCACTAGTTGAAAGTTGATGACCATTCAGTGCTTGCAGCTGTTGGTCATGGTGTTAGCTTTATGAAGGGGTTGCATGCAAGTGTGGAACAGATTTTTATCTCTTGCTTTTTGTTTCTAATTTCCAGTTTGGCTGTATTTACTAAAAAATTAGTTGGATATGCTAACTGAAGACCGCAGAGGTCCAAAATACACCTGTCTGTTTCAGCTAGTGTTTGGCTGGGTTATGACTGCATGATAAAATGAGCAAATACAGTCCCTTTCTGCTAGGTAAGAGGACAGCAGCTTTAGCTAAAATGAATAATGTGAAGGAGGAAGAACATTTTTTCACCCTTGTACACATAATGATAATCATATATAGATAGATCTTGAGCATTTTGAAAGGTTGACACTTCTTCGGTAGGATTTGCAGAACACTGCTGAATAGAAGTTGTGTATTATACAGGAGAGGTGGAGGTGTACAGTTCTGCTTGATTTTGCTCTGGTTTTATTTTTGCCAGTCTCATCTAAGTTAGTTGGAACAGAATGGGATTGATTCCATAAAACCATAGTAAAACTTACGGATTTTCTTGTTTGTTTTAATACGGTCTCCCCTGTAGATTCAAACCAGTTTAAGTAAAAAAGAAATACAGTTTTTAAGGAACAGTAAAAATAGGTGATGGTCACATCTACTTCTCCTGGGGCAGAAAACCCTTTAATGTTCACTGTTTATGCCATTTATCTTATATTTACTTTTATAATTGTTTCAGTGCCAGAAGTAATCTGCCTTAAAACTACTCCTAAGCAGAAAGAGTCAGTGTTGTTCCTTTCTAGGTAATGCTGAAGATATGACTGATTCTCATGTTAGACTGCTGGGATGATTTGGTGACTCAGACCAGGTTTAACCCTGACTGACATGATGCCTGTCACTGATCATATCCTACTCTCTGGGTGAATGATACTGATGTGACTGGAGTGATACTACTGATGCTAAATAGAAAGTCAAAGTTGTTTCTTTCCCATTAGCATCAAAGGTGAGATCAAAGTATATCACAGGAGATGAGGATTCTTCTTCTGGTTAGGATCAGGTCTGTTTAATTAAAACCAAACCACAGTCCTCTTTATTGTGTCTGGAAGAAAATAGTTGCTGCCTCTTTGTGGCTGTCTTTTGGAAAGACCAAAATATACTTGCCTGTCAGATTACTCAAGTTTATTAAACATCTGTTTTGTGTCTTATGTAAACTTTCTTTCTTTCCCTCGCAATGTGTTCAAGCTTTGTGAAATATGCAGGGTTGGAAAATGTCATCCACTTTGAGGGATTAACACC